TATAAGTTTGAACATTATTAAGGTTTTATTGTCAAAGACTACACTTCTATAATCACAGATTTCGCCAAGGCTACACTAGACAAATAATGTTCAAGATAAACATGATTAATCTATTGTGTTAGTCTATCTATAGTAGAATTATTTTGCCCGTGCAGTTTGGGTCATAAAAAATCGGAGCGGTGAAGCGAGTATTTCGCTCTCTCTTCCACTCACGAGCCTTATGGACGGGCATAGTGAAGCGCATTATTGTTGTCGATAAACGTTATCGATAGTGTATTTAGTTTTATCATTTTGTGTGTCATAAAAATGAAAGAAAAAATCACTAATCGAACACTTACACCACATATCGTCGCAGCAAGTTAACGAGAACGGCAGAAATTAACACTTTGTAACTTTTCGGGAGCTATTCTTATTTCAGCGAATTTTTTTAACACATTGTTGATAACAACACGTGCAAATATTATTTTGAATAAATTCTGCCGTTTTGATACAAAACAAAACAGTAGCCATTGTGTCACTAAAGAAATTCAGAGAACGAATGGATAAAAACACATTTCTCTTCGACATAATGTAGTATAATTTGCAGGTAAGCACAAATGACTCATAACATAACAATGTCTCACCACCCTTCGTATACCACCGCCGCCGTGTACCTGCCTTCGATTACTCATTTGTTTTTATCGATAATGGCGCTGCGCCCGCGCAACATGCTCACCGCCCTAGCCGGGCTATGTTTTATGGCCCAAACTGCACGGACAAAATAATTCTACTATAGTCAAATTGAGTTGACCACAGACTTAAACAATAAATATATATGCGTGTATGTGTGTCAAATATATGGTAGCGTGTGTGATGCTTTTTTATTTATAAAAAAATATTAGCATTCTGCATTCCTTCTCTATATCTTCTCTATATCCTTCTCTATATTTCATACTCCTCCGTCCGCGCAATTTTCGTAAAAAGGATTACAAAATTTTTGCTTCACGTATTATTAAGGAGATAATTCCTTCGTCGTGGATGTCCTTGTTATTTTCTTAAAAGTACCTACTGATTTGAATTTACTGGTGGTAGGACCTCTTGTGAGTCCGCGCGGGTGGGTACCACCGCCCTGCCTATTTCTGCCGTGAAGCAGTAATGCGTTTCGGTTTGAAGGGTGGGGCAGCCGTTGTAACGATACTGAGACCTTAGAACTTATATCTCAAGGTGGGTGGCGCATTTACATTGTGATGTCTATGGGCTCCAGTAACCACTTAACACCAGGTGGGCTGTGAGTTCGTCCACCAATCTAAGCAATAAAAAAAATATAAAAAAAAAATATAGTCGTACCAATTTATACGAGAAGACCTTGCAACTTGTCCCTTTTTTTTATGATTGAAGGATAACTGGTGGCCCGGAGGTCTTTCCAGTTCCACTAGGACAGGTGGGCGAGCAAAGGCTCAGCCAGAAGGGGTGGGATTTGCGAACAGCGGTCAGAGCGCCTCCGAAGGAGACCTAACAGCTCAAGAGCAGCTGCTTTGCGAATGAATCTACTACCGGATCGGAATCGCGACCCGCTGAGAAGATCCGGCGAGAAACTTAGCGAGCTGATTCATGGGTTAGGTTGCACGTCGAACTCTTTGTCGAGTTCGACGAGTACGGTTACCAGTGTCCCTAAGCCTGCCCTAAGCTACCTGCAGCTGCCACTGAGAAGATCCGACAAGACACTCAGTGGACAAATGCTGACAAACCTTTGTACAATGTCTATTTTGAAAACAATAATAAATATTCCGTCTATTATTCATAAACGATGTTTTAAAAATAAAAAGAAAACACGTCCACATAGCAGAGCTAATTAACGATTTATTTCACCTTTCTTTTCATTATGTCGATACTGGTAAGCATATTGGAGCGAAATTATAAAGTTTTTGTTTAGTTATCGGTACTTGAAGCGTGTGAAAATTATCTATCTAAACCCACCTCTTGAAGTCATTGAGTATTCGTGATCCCTAATGCATATTAAAAGGGCATTATCAACATACGCTTTAAGTCATAACAGATTAATGTAAGTTTTGTTTAGTTATCGGTACTTGATGCGTGTGAAAATTGTCTATCTAAACCGACCTCTTGAAGTCATTGAGTATTCGTGATCCCTAACGCATATTAAAAGGGCATTATCAACATACGGTTTAAACCATAACAGATTAATGTAAGTACCCCCAGATATACTTCGTTTAAAAAACTGTAATCAATATTTGTCTTACTAAAAATGTACGCCAGAAATATATTGTTAAAACTTATTTTAAAACAGATTTCGCAATGTCGAAATTAAATATTTAATTAACATACAAAAATATATTCGAAACTCCACATAACCTACTTTTTTTGTATACCTACACTTNAGCCATAACAGATTAATGTAAGTACCCCCAGATATACTTCGTTTAAAAAACTGTAATCAATATTTGTCTTACTAAAAATGTACGCCAGAAATATATTGTTAAAACTTATTTTAAAACAGATTTCGCAATGTCGAAATTAAATATTTAATTAACATACAAAAATATATTCGAAACTCCACATAACCTACTTTTTTTGTATACCTACACTTTCAACATTATAAATTTCTCTATGAAATTCCAATTCTTTGTGGTCGAATTTATCTATTTCATATTTCAAACGTATTGTAACTGCATATTTGAGGTTTGTAATACGGAGTCTTATTTCATTATACTTAGGTAAGCATAAAATTGAGCATTTACGAAAACACATTTGTGGTTGCGATTTGCAATGAACATATTTTTTTGTATGTTGGTAATGGTCAGGTAAATGAACGTAGTACATACATACATCTAACTGTTTATTTTAATCTGTATTTAGGGATGTGACACAAAAGAATTCTTGGCGAATGACTCACATTACACATCACCCTACGCCGAGAGAAAGCGCGGTAGTGAATTAGAAAAAGAAGAAAAGAAAAAAACGCTCACCTGATTCCGCTTCTGTTTGCTCGATTTCACACAAAATAATATAACAAAAAGAAATCTTTAAAAACAACGTAGTTTTCTAAACACTTTTTCGTCTTAACTCACCCGGTGTGGTGGTTAGTGCGAAACAACTTTATATAACTGTTGCTTCGTCCAACCGGTTTTAGTTCGTCGTAAACTAATGAATAAAGTAATTCGAAAACACACAACGAGTTTCGTTTCTTTTAAAAACAATCCCGTATTGACGAATGTTGTCGAAAAAACAACTTAAGATTCAATTGAATATTTTGCGATTTTTTTTCCGAAACGCGTTTCGTGAGACGTCTTTCCCGTGCAGCCCCCCGCTCGCGACTGGCCCCTAAGCTGGCCCGTTCAAGCGTTACCAAGTTGAAAAGAGGCTTTGCATAGTCACAACACGACATACTTGTGTTTACCAACGCTCATTTTGTGTTCGCAGTATTTTGAAATCAAAAAGAGCAACGGAACGCGGTACGAAGCGTTATTTTTTTTCTCATATCATCATGCTTTACAATCGAAACGCGATAAAACGTGTACATGCAGAAAAAAAAACAGTCAACGGATACAAAAAAAAAACCAAATTAGAGACATTGTTTCATGAAAAAATGCACAAGGTCTCTCTAAAACTCAGGTTTGAAGTGGCTATCATAGATAAAATATACTTATTAACGTGGCATTTATTGTAAGAGCATATTGTGTCATGTTTGACAGTTTTCAAAGTTACCTGAAAATCATTTGTACGTGACAAAACAAAACGAAGTTCGAACAGCGTAACTTTTTTTTCCTACCTGTGCTGACAGCCTTAAGAGACTATTCAGCTTCTCATTGACGTGTAGGTGAGCTCACGGGGCTCAAACCGGAGTGTTGCTAACACTGACCCTAGCAAGAGCAGTGCTTCGCAGAATCTATCACTTTAACTACTTGAAAGGGGTTAACTTTTTTTTTATTGCCCGTGTAGGCAGACGAGCATACGACCCATCTGATGGTGAGTGGTTACCGTCGCCCATGGACTTCAGCAATGCCAGGTGCAGAGCCAAGCCGCTGCCTACCGTTAAACTTAATTAAGGTTCAAATAAAAACATCGAATTGTTGATTCTATTACCGAATAAAATGCACCTTTAATTACAAAGATAAATGTCGCGTATTAGCCGAAATGTCGCGTATTAAGCGCAATGTCGCTTACACCAAACAGCCTTTCACTCCTCAATACTATTCCCGGCGTTTCGAGTTACGAATATTTTAACTTTTCGCGATCACAGACTGTCTAACACTAACTTTGGATGATTGAAAATTTACATTCTATCACTGCTGCTATTTTCGCTTTGGCCACGTCCTATTTGATGACTTCACTAAGAAGTTTAATATGACTTATCTTAATTATGTATTTTTGTTTCGTTCTGACCCGAGCGATATTCTTTTTGATCGACGAACAACCACGAAAAAACACGAGTAAAAACACATTATGAGCAAAATAGATAAACAGAACAACTAGCTAACCCGGCAGACTTCGTAGTGCCTCAATCGATAAATAAAAGACCTAAAATTTTGTATAAAATATACTTAAAACAAACAAAAGGAATCCGTCCGACGAGGGACACATCAAAGGAAAAACCAAAATTGTTATTTTTATTGAATTCCGCGCATTTTCATATTTATCTTTACCTTTTAAACCTTCTCTGGACTTCCACAAATAATTCAAGACCAAATTTAGCCAAATGGGTCCAGCCGTGCAATTCATTTTTATATATATAGAAGATAGAAGATAAGAAAGGAGGTGATAAAGAAAAAGAAACACGCCAATCATGATTTGATCTTTAAAAATTTCTCGTGAAAAAACCATTTCAAATGACTGGCGCGTTTTTCTCCACAGATAACGTAATTTTTATTTTTTATTCTTAATGTTTTTTTTCTTCTATGATAGACAATGTGACATGACTTTTGTCTTCTTTCAATCATATTTGTTATTTACTCTCATTTAAAAGACTTTTTTTACCGTTTTGTGGTGTTTTTATAACAATCATGGCATTCAGGTATAATACAATGTAATTTCTAATTATTAATGTCGAAAATAATTGTGTAATAAAAAAATGTTGATTATGCAAATAACTATTGCAAATTTCTAGACCTAATCGAATAAAAACAGTATGTAATTCACAAAGTCTAGAAGTGAAGTGAAACCTATAGTTCATACTCTCGGAGGCCCTATAATAAGTTAAATAATTACCGCCGATAAGTCACCGACGATCATCCGGTCCCAAACTAGGATTCCCTATATTATAGGAGCCGGAGACTAATTTAGACTTACTTCTACGTATTTACAAAAACAAATCTCATAAGTATGTCCCTTTTTAGTGTCGCTTTTTCGTTTCATCGTATTTCAAATTAGGACAACAAAGAAATTTTCATTCCAAAAACATTACCGCATCCCATCATCACTAGTGATTACCTAATTGTTAAGGCACAAGAATTTGAACTAGGACGTCAATAAAAAAGTTTTCAATTTAAAAAAAAATTACCACGTTCCATCATCACTAGTGATTGGCTAATCGTTAATGCACAACGTGTGTTCCAGTTGTTCCCAGTGCGACTTCACCGCGCAATTCGAGAGTGCACTAACAATGCACCGACAACTTCACCACCCTACAGAGGACGACGTACCTCAACTTGACAAGCCACTGGTACGAACATTCCATGTTTTCAGTATAAAGGTCAGGGGCACACTTTCTGTGTATGACCGGTCACCGTCCTCGTCGAACCCGTCACTTGCGACGAAGGGCTCGACGAGCGAATTAACCCATAGACACAGCCCACTGACTTTCTCGCCGGATCTTCTCAGTGGATCGCGTTTCCGATCCGGTGGTAGATTCTGCGAAGCGCTGCTCTGGTTTGAGCCCCGTGAGTTCACCTACACGTCAAGGAGAAGCTGAAATAGCCTCTCAAGGCTATGAGCACAGGTAGGATAATAAATCTATGTATGCAAAAAGTTTCTATTGGGAAGAGAGAGAAGCTATTGAATCGGCGCCACCGTAGCAAGTGGTGTAATTTCAAAGATGGCGCCAAAACGTTAGTATAATTATTACATTTTGCAGCTAGAAACTTTTCACTCTATCTACAAACGCTACATTCACACCGCTTACTACGCTGGCGTAGTTTTGATAGGTTTTTTGTTGTAATCTGTGTCACTTATAGTTGGACACTTTTCCAACTAGTCTCCCATTTACTTAAAACAGTATTCCTTACACCCACAATACTTTTCACAATTACTCATAGCCTTTCCAGTATTGCATTTTCCGGTGTTCCGTGTTCACGAAAATAAGTTAAGGGATTCAAGCATTAATTGTTTTATAATAATGCCTGCGGCTCATTATAGCATCAAAAGAGACTGTTTATAACGTCTGCACATCTAACAATCACAAATCAAAACTTCTATATCGTGCAAACAGTCATACAATTGAGGCCACGTTCTTACGGATCCATCAGATCCAATAACCTTTGCATTAGACGCCTTCAGCTCTAACACTAGGAGCAGGCTTAGGGACCCCGGTAACCGTACTCGTCGAACTCGACAAAGAGGTCGACGTGCAACCTAACCCATGCATCAGCCCGCTGAGTTTCTCGCCGGATCTTCTCAGCGGGTCGCGATTTCGATCCGGTAGTAGATTCATTCGCGAAGTAATTGCTTTTGAGTTGTTAGGTCTCCTTCGGAGGCGCTCGGGCAGTTGTTAGCAAATCCCACCCCTCTTGGCTGAGCCTTTGCTCGCCCACCTGTCCTGGTGAAATTGGAAAGGCCTTCAGGCCACCAGTAATCTTTCAATCATAAAAAAAAACAATTGAGGCACCGAAAAACAGTTTAATATGAAAAGAAGGCGCAATTAGAAATCAATTTTTATTTAATAAAAAAAATCATTTACATACATGAAGCTTAAAATATTTTGCAGGAGAAAGCCAACACATTACCAAGAGCCAAGATCCAGAGCCCAATCACCAACGGTAACGAGAACACGAATTTCAAGCGTATGTTTCAAATTTCAGACGTTAATTAATCTCTAAATTATATTTTACTAGCTGCCCCGGCAGGCTTCGTAGTGCCTCAATCGATAAATAAAAGACCTAAACTTTTGTATCAAATAAACTCAAAACAAACAAAAGGAATCCGTCCGACGGTGGACACATCAAAGGAAAAACAAAATTGTTATTTTTATTTCATTCCGAGAATTTTCATATTTATCTACCTTTTAAACCTTCTCTGGACTTCCACAAATAATTCAAGACCAAAATTAGCCAAATCGGTGTCCAGCCGTTCTCGAGTTTTAGCGAGACTAACGAACAGTAATTCATTTTTATTTAAATAGATTTCCATCGGGTTTTTTTTAAGTATATGTTTGGCAAGCTGCCTTTGTCACGGGGGACATTAAATCAAATTCTTTGTTTGAATAAGGACTTCAAACATGTACTCTATTCGCATTAGGCCTTTTAAATGAATCTTCAGCTTTTTGGCGGGAACACGAGGAGTTAATCTGTGTGAATCCTTTGGCTTTGTTAATTTAGTGCTTCTTGAAGTTTAAACGTGTTATAACTGGGGGCTTGTTTAAGACATTCATGAAAGCAAGTAGGTGGTGGTAGGACCTCTTGTGAGTCCGCACGGGTGGGTACCACTACCCTGCCTATTTCTGCCGTGAAGCAGTAATGCGTTTCGGTTTGAAGGATGGGGCAGCCGTTGTAACTATACTTGAGACCTTAGAACTTGTATCTCAAGGTGGGTGGCACATTTACGTTGTGGATGTCTATTGGCTCCAGTAACCACTTAACACCAGGTGGGCTGTGAGCTCGTCCACCCATCTAAGCAATAAAAAAAAAAGCAAACAAATTTGGGAAACGAAACAAAATTGTTGGACATGGCTTTTCGAGTTCTTACCAAAAAATCCATTAAAGTGTCTGTAAATAGTCAATTTAATTTAATTTCAACCCAATTAATTACAGTTACGAATAAATCAAGTTCATCTAATTGCACATCATATTATTGTGGCATATCTCAGAATACGTATATAATTTAATAATTGAATATTTTTATAAGCTCGACACTGGAGACAATGGCATCGCAAGAAGCCAATTGCCAAATTAAAAAACTGGGAAAATTATGGAGGGTAGAGGTAAGAAGAACCGTCTCATATGGGTGAAGCTTGAAAATTTCTCCCTCTTTCAGCACTAAATAACAGTTCAAAAATCCTCCAGAATGGCGCTAGCATAGGCACAGCATATGATATGAATTGAGCAGTTGTTAACTGATTGAAATAGACTGAGTTAGGAAATTTAATATATTTAATGACTAGAGTAGTTACTGACAGTATAATATACAAGACCTCACATGTTTACGTAGTCCAAACTAATTTCGTCGACATAACCTAAAATTATTGCTGTGGTAAAACGTGGAGACATCGATTGCATTTTCTTGACAGCTTTAAATAAAATACTTTTTGTGATTTTGTAGTGCTTACAGTTCTTTCGTCCTTTTTTATCTCTCTATCTTATTCTAATAACTTTCAGCGCCTTTTTTAAAATTTACCCAGTTGCTACTGTAGCGCCACCCTTATTTAGCAGATTTTAACGGACACTTTTTAGACACAGAGACGGTTCTCCTTACCTCTACCCTCCATAGGGAAAATATAACACAATCGTCCCAGATATTAGGGGTGAGATAAGCTCCGGTGACAGGATTCTGTCGAAATAGTGCCACAGATTGTAATCGATTGTATTTTTTAATATTTTACTGCCGAAACCAGTTCCAGGTAGAACGTCATCAGCGACGCGTCTGTTCGACAGACTAAGGGCCAAAATCTACAAAAGCAGAACGCTGTTCTCGCACCCGGAAGAGAATGATCCATTGAAAACGTTTAACGTTAGTCAAAATGAACTTTAATTCGCTCCAAGCACGGTTGTTATATAAAAATTAATATTAAGCATATTTAACACCAAGGAGAGCTTTTTCCATTCATTAAATTGGTAGTTTTTTTTTTNGCGTCTGTTCGACAGACTAAGGGCCAAAATCTACAAAAGCAGAACGCTGTTCTCGCACCCGGAAGAGAATGATCCATTGAAAACGTTTAACGTTAGTCAAAATGAACTTTAATTCGCTCCAAGCACGGTTGTTATATAAAAATTAATATTAAGCATATTTAACACCAAGGAGAGCTTTTTCCATTCATTAAATTGGTAGTTTTTTTTTTCTTTCCTATCCATTTCTTCTTCCATTCATCTTTAGAAGATAATCTAGCTTCACCAAACGTAGGCGAGCTTCCAGGGCTCTAACCTGGTGGCTTTGCTAACACTAGTCCTAGCAAGAGTAGTGCTTCGCAGAATCTATCACCGGATCAAAACGCGACCCACTGAGAAGATCCGGCGAGAAACTCAGTAGGCTGATGCTTGTCCAAAGTTGTTTTCAGTAAAAAAATTCACAGGGCAGTTAATGTGCGCAGCATTGCTTGACATTGCGACGGTTCCAACCTCCCAATTTTATCTGTACACTAGCTGTACCCGTCCGCTTCGCTGGGCATTTAAAATTAACATTATTATTTCTTACCCCACAAAGATTCTCATCATTAACGACCCCGCAACTGGTATAGGGAGTCCAACACTCATATAAATATTAGCCTATCCATTAAGTACATGTATTTTCTACACGGATACCAAGTTTCAAGTCAATCGGATGCATGGTTCAGTAGTTATATCGGAACATCCGTGAAAACCACTGTAGATTTATATATTAGTATAGAAAACCCTAGTCTTTGGTTTAATCATAGAAGTTTGCTTGACAACGATCGTTTATGGAAGATACTGTTGCATTTACAGGATATCTCGATACCGAGCGAATGCACATCTAAACATTTGAGAATCGATTCCGTGTCCCGAACTAGCGCAATGACCACGTGCCTCAGAGATCTGCATAAAGAAACATACGGATGTCATCTTTGCTCGTCCGAATTCGACAGGTGTTAATATATTACATTAATAAATTATATTAGTAAACTAAACTTAGTAATTAATAAAGTAGATTAAGGAGAGTAAATTTTACATTAGAAATTTTATTGTTGGAAATTTAATGACAGATAAATATTTTAGGACCGATTTTTTTTTTTCAAATTCCTTTATGTATATGTACGTCCTTATTCCGCTCGGTATAGTTTAAATGATCGTTGTTTATTGACCAAACTATAGTGTTTTTGTTTTATTGCTTAGATATGTGGACGAGCGTTAAGTAATTACCGGAGCCCATAGACATCTACAATGTAAATGTCGCCACCCACCTCGAGAAATAGTTCTAAGGTCAGTCTTAACAGCACAACAATTACCCCACCCTTCAAACCGAAACGCATTACTACTAGCTATTTATTGTAATAAATATTCAAATTGATTACAGAATAACGGCCCTGGATAGGCATCTTTTGAACGATCACAAGATAAGTCTAGAGGAACTACTCAAGCTAGTTTTGAATAAAACGAAAGATTGTCTTAACGACGAGGACAGCGCGATTTTGGGCATCAAGCAGCCCTATTACAAGCCGCCAGACGAAATAATCGAAGATGGCGAGTTCATTATCGAGACGGTCACGCCTAAAATTAAAATATTGAAGCACACATCGACGAATACAGACTTGCAGTTGAGTGATGCGTTTGTAATGAATGACGTAGCGGACGATGGCCGCGATCTGTTGTTAGCCAAAATGAAAGTCCTCAATGATTGCATGTGCAAGTTTGTTGATTCTTCGAATGCACTGAAGAAGGTTCTGGTTAAAGAGATTGACAATAAAACTGGACGTGCTCGTATGAGCGGAGGCGAGCCTGTGTTTAATCTTAGTTTGGGAGAGTGAGTGGTTTTTTTTTTGTAAATGTTTCCGTCAATGGTTTTCGCTTTTGTTTTATAGTCTCTAAAAATAATGTTAATGAAAGTCGTCGTGGATTAAGACGCTCGATAAATTACTGGTGGTAGAACTTCTTGTACGGGTAGGTGCTACCGCCCTGCTTATTTCTGCCGTGAAGCAGTAATGCGTTTCGGTTCGAAGGGCGGGGCAACCGTTGTAACTATACTGAGACCTTAGAACTCATATCTCAAGGTATCTTGTAGATGTCTATGGGCTCCAGTAACTACTTAACAACAGGTGAACTGTGAGCTCGTCCACCCACCTAAGCAATAAATGGAGAACGCTATCAGTGGCTGTATGTGCACCTACTACTCACCGCACATAATACAAAAATGAAATTCAACGCCTCGCATTAGATATTATTTTCAAAAGTTTTAAGATAACATATTGTTTCTAGCCACGACTCACCCCGCGATTGGAACAGAACACACAGCGAGAATCTGCAGAGAAGGGAAAACAAACATGGCGACAGAATTGAAAAGACCAAGATGTCGAATGAGAGTTTTTATTTTTGAATAGATACCTACATATTTGGTTTTGTTAAGGTGGTTTTTACGTAAAGCTTTCCAATAAAAGTTGTTTTATTTTATTTTCAATTGTTTACTAGTGTTTTCCCCACTTACACTTCACTCGCTTCTGCCGTGAAAGCAGTAATGCGTTTCGGTTGGAACGGTTAGAACTCATATCTCAAGGTAAGTGGCGGCATTGATGCTGTGGACGTCTATAGGCTCCGGTAACCACTTAACACCAGGTTGGCCGTGAGCTCGTCCACCCATCTAAGCAATAAATAAAAAAAATGAGCCAAAACAGCCTTGTGTTCCATCTCAGAATTTAGGTAGGTAACTGTTAAGCCAAATTGCGACTTCCACTTGTGTTTCAAGTTGGAGTTCACTTGAGCTCATTTGGCTGATTAATGTTCCAAGAAAAATATATTATTTGAGAATCCTGGCAATATCTTGATAAAATAAATAAATACTAAATAAATCTTAGTTATAATTATTACTGCTCTGGCAATTCTCCAATTTGCATTTAGAATTTACAAAGCGGCATCTCTCGCAAAACAATACTCCGGTTTGGGTATGTCTGCTGTTATCATAATGACAGCACATCATGTAAACGCATTTCTCGTCTCTGCCACGTTTTATGGAATCACCACTGGACATGCAATGCTTGGTCTGGCAACATTTACAGTGATCCGGGCTGTTTTGGTAGTTTGTTTTGACAACTGGCAATACTCTGGGTCCCTTTCTTGTTATTGGCCTGTTAACTCCAAATTCGTTTTCGTCTTTGTAATCACTATTTCTAACTCTGGCGAACATCCGATTAACTTCCTCTATGGAATCTCTAGATTTCGCATTTTCTTTCAAATTTTGTTTTATTTCTTCTATTTTCATTTGCGGTATCGAAGATGATTTGTGTTTCAGCAGATTTATGGCGCATTCTGTTTTATTTTTAGGCTGGCAACTGTTTATTACTGTAAAATCTTTATTGCTGCTGCCTTCGATTGAGTAACTGAAGATTTTACTTGCAACCAATATTGGTTTTATTTTAAAATCGGTGTTCGTTCCGGCATCTTTATTCTTACGTACATCGACTTTATTCTTTTTGTTTCTAAGAATGTTTAGAACTTCATTAAATAAAGTGTAACTTTCAATATATGAATTTGGTGAAATTGTTTTATTATCTGTATTTTCTTTGGAAGTAGTTGTATTAATTATTTTACTAGATTCAGTGTGACTGTCGTCTATTATGTATTTGTCTATTTCTAAACTTTGACTATTATTCTTTTTCTTTTTCGCAGTATTTGCGTATACAACAGTTGGTTTACCGTATTCTTTTGTAAAATGACGTTTCTCAAAGTTTGTACAATTAATTTTTCTATAATTGTTTTCACTGTTCATTCCTCCTAAATTATCAGATATTATTTTATAGTTCTTTATGTGTATATGTATAGTTTCAATATTTCCTTTGTGCATAGAGCAATGAATCTGTGAAACGAATGATGTGTTTTCAGATATTTTTTGAAGTTCGTATGGTGAGAGATGGTGTTTATAGTGACAGTTATTCCTTAGTGTTTTTATTTATTTATTTAATGCTTGATGGTTGGCTTTTTTTTATTGCCTTGTCCACATATCAAGGCAATAAAAAAAAAAAGACGTCTACAAGGTAAATGCGCCACCCACCTTGAGATATAAGTTCTAAGGTCTCAAGTATAGTTACAACGGCTGCCCCACCCTTCCAACCGAAACGCATTACTGCTTCACGACAGAAAGAGGCAGGGTGGTGGTACCTACCCGCGCGGACTCACAAGAGGTCTTACCACCTGTAAAAAAATTATGTTACATCGTTTTCTTGGTTATGGACTGGAAGCTTGTAGAAGTGGTGTGTTAAAAACAAACCTTAAACTTGTTGAACGATGCTAATTCATAACACCGCTACGCGACACGTAGGTACATTGTCGCACAAAACAAGACATAAATATACAAAATTCAACATGAATATTATTTAGAAAAACAAAAAAGTCTTCTAAACAGAATATTAAAATATAAAATTGATTAAGTGTCAATGACAAAAAACATAGATACGTTTTAAAAATGTATCGTTGGCTATAGAAGAATTAATTTTATTTATTTATTTTGTATTAGATAGAATTACGAAAGCACTTTATGAAAAATAAATACGTCGCTTTTATCAAACTATTAAGCTCATGTGTAATTTTCAAAAAATAATTCATAAAAGTAGGTATTCAATGAACAATTAACTTTAATCTTCTTTCCGAAATTCTCTATCGATCGTCAACGTCAAAACAATGACAGACTAAATTCTCAGTGAAACGTATGTAGCGAAAAAAAATAATAAAAACAGAATCACGCCATTCCGAGACGGCAACGCGGTAAATACTAGTTTAAGTTATTCCATTTTATAATACACTAGCGGCCTGTCCCGGCTTCGCTTGGGTAGTAGCGCACGCGATGTAAAGAATTTTAGGTAATTTTTTTACACATTGGGTTACATTATTGGAGTTTTAGTGAGGATCCCTAATTTTTTTGAAAATATAATGAATATAGCCTATGTCACCCGGCGATAGTGTAGCTTCCCAACAGTGAAAGAATTTTTTAAATCGGTTCCGTAGTTTGGGAGCCAATTCAATACAAACAAACAATCAAATCTTTCCTCTTTATAATATTAGTATTTTTTTTTTATTGCCCTTTTAGGCAGACGAGCATACGGCCTACCTGATGGTGAGTGGTTAACGTCGCCCATGGACTTCAGCAATGCCAGGGGCAGAGCCAAGCCGCAGCCTACCGCTTAATACTCTCCACAAGCCTCGTTTGAAGAAGGACATGACATGGAGTATAGATTAATGAGCCTGCATTATTGCTATTAATGCCAGCTACACGTTGCCTTGGATATGTACACGGCGCCGTGAAGGATCGGAGGATCGAACACACGGCGCCGTGGCTTTCAATTATTTTAAGCATCAGTACCGATTCCACCGTGGAGTTAACTTTACGTGAGGCACATTGCCATATACGTAAAGTAGTGACCTTATAATATCAAGTTTTTGTATTTATAGCTTATATGGGTGGACGAGCTCACAGCCCACCTGGTGTTAAGTGGTTACTGGAGCCCATAGACATCCACAACGTAAATGCGCCACCCACCTTGAGATATAAGTTCTAAGGTCTCAAGTATAGTTACAACGGTTGTCCCACCCTTCAGACCGAAACCCATTACTGCTTCACGGCAGAAATAGGCGGTGTGCTGGTACCTACCCGCACGGACTCACAAGAGGTCCTACCACCGGTGTTGGATTAGGGTTCATACGATTAATTTGAAAAATCGATCAGGCCACGCGCCACAGCGCCGTGTACTCTGCAAAATCTGCCACATTTTGATTAGTAGCGACATTCATTTTTGTAATTAAATGTCCGTTCTATTTGGTATTAATATCAACAATTCGATGTTTTTAATTGAACTTCAATTATGTTTACCCCTATTCAAATAGCGGAAGATGTTTTTTTGTAATGATATTTTTTCCAAAATTTTGCTTTAAATGGTTCTCCTGTATAGTTACAAAAATCTTCAATTGATGATTATTATATTATTGATAGACTAGTTAATAGAATGAGTGCTGATCAACTAATTGGAACAACAGAAAATGATACTAGATTTAATTCTGACAGCGTTACAATTCTTTCTCAGAGGCCCGATTGTGAAATAAATGAAATTGGAATTAGAAAATGCCATAGCTTAGATCAGGCAATAAAAAATCGAGAAATGAATAAAACTAAACCGAACAAAGAAAAAGACGAACGGAATAGGAATACACAATACGCCATCAATTTAAATGTGGACGTTGGTGAAATAAATCGGAAATGCACGTGTGAACTGGCAACACCGAAAATGAAGTATTTCAACGTGTTCCCAGAGCAAATATATGCTTATCACGAGACGATTAGTTTCACGGATATAGGCATAGGTAGCGTTAAAACATTACAAAGGAGGAAGGTCAAAAAAGTTTATTTACCAGATAAAGCAGAGAGGGGGGTCGGGAGCGATGAACTACTGTCCATTACAAATCGTAAGTACGAATGGATTTTTATTTTACCGGAGCCCATAGGCATCTACGACGTAAATGAGGGCGTCAAGTTTGACAAGAGTTCTAAGGTCTCAGTTGTAACAGTAGGACGGCTGCCCTGAAGCAGTAATGGGTTTCGGTTTGAAGTCAGCCACTTCAAACCGAAACCCATTACTGCTTCACGGCAGAAATAGGCAGGATAAGATTACCGAAAATATTGTTTGAATGAAATATCTAATATTTAGCAGCTTTAAAAGGATAAATAACAAAAAAATTAGTACTTTTAAGATGATAGAATAATTGAGTTTATAAGCGTTTCGGAAATATAATTTCTATTATTGCATATCTTCATCACTGTCTAGATATTTTTTGCTATGGAATGACTAAGCAATTTCTTGTAACCTATTCCAAATATTATTTCTTTAATAGATACATAATCTTGGATAGGTCACGAGTTCATGATTGTTACAGAGCTCTACCTAGAACACTTACATGTCTACGGCTTGTATTCAATTCGATTCAGATTTCATTGATTTTAAGCGCTTTTATATACAAGGTGATAAATGTTGTAGGAAAAAACAGACGAAACGAAAGAGCTCATCATCACCAAACAAGTGCAATATCAAAGCCAGTTCAAGATGTATTGAAAGATAATAAAATCTATTTAGTGCATGAAAAATTATCACCCATCACACTCAAGAGATCAACTACAACAAGCCCTGTAGAAGTCAAAATAGAAATGGGCATAAATACTGATGGGAAAGAACTATTAACGGTTATGACACAAGTAGAAAACGAGTCACAAAAGATAGGTGGCGGTAAAATAGAAAGCCCAAAGAAGAATTTAGAAAAGGTTAAAGGTAAAAAAGTTTCAAAAGAAACTGAAAAGGTGATGGTCAAGACTGTGTCGTCCGATTCACTTGTTCAACATGTGCATAATTTGGAGATTCCTAGTGATGAGAAACATAGCAGAACTTCAATAGATCCGATGGAAAATAAATTAGAAAGAGAATACAGGAAAATATTCGCAACTAGGTCGAAAGATAAAAAGCCGAAGGTCGAAAATCCGATACCGGAACTCAAAACTGCTTCAGGTTTTCGTCGTAGATTTGAAGCCTTCAGACGTGGATTGCTAAAGAAAGAAGAAATGAAAAAAAATGACGTTCTAATTAAAATATCAAGTCACAAAAGTGTGATCAGTCACAAAGATGTATCTATAACTTCCGATCCTCCATCTTTAGAGGGCAGGTCATTCTCAAGTACAAAAGTTTACAGTCCGTTCCGAATGTACACGNCTGCTTCAGGTTTTCGTCGTAGATTTGAAGCCTTCAGACGTGGATTGCTAAAGAAAGAAGAAATGAAAAAAAATGACGTTCTAATTAAAATATCAAGTCACAAAAGTGTGATCAGTCACAAAGATGTATCTATAACTTCCGATCCTCCATCTTTAGAGGGCAGGTCATTCTCAAGTACAAAAGTTTACAGTCCGTTCCGAATGTACACGGGATCGGAAAAACCTATTTATAAATCCGCTGTGAATGAAGAAGATCCTGTAGAAAAACAAAAGAAGGAAAGTATTGATTGGCCCCCGATGGCAGAGGAAGATAGCGAGTACAACGGAGTCAAAGGGATGTTTAGATTGTGGGGCAAGAAGTTTAATTTCGACGACGATAAAAAACGATTAAGTCCAGTTCCCTCAGATTATGAAGCTAAATCGAAAGCGAATAAAATGCAGAATAATGTTGTTTTAAAAGAAAAAAAAGAAGGACGTAAGTTTTTCTTTTTTAAGAAGAACGCTAAAGATAAAACAAAGAAACCCTTTCAAACAAAGAAAGGTGTGACTACCGCTCGTTGCGAAATCAATGATGGTTTAGTGATCAAAATTGGAGCGAGTGTCCCAACGACAGCGACAGTAAAATCTGAAGCATCAGACGATATACTAAAAAAACAATGGCTTTTGAAATTTCTGAGTCACGACAGAGCCTCAACCAATAGTGTCAGAGTGAGATGGAATAATAAAATGTACAGAACAAGCAGTAGTACAGTTTTCGAATTGATGGACAATGTCTACAAAGATCTTACGTTACGTTCTAGAAGTGAAATAATTTCCAGTGACTCATCATACTGTAAGCCTGACAAAACGCGCGTCAAATTTGCCCCGCAAGAGGTAGAAGCCTGGATGGTTGCAAGAACAGTAACCGACCGAAGTAAAGGAATGCCTATTGAAATGAAAAACAGTGCAAATACAAATGGAAAAATCATTCAAGTCAATTCTAAAAACATAAAAGATAGCATTGAACGTTTATGTCACAATATAAAAGTCGTTTTGCATTCGAAAGACAATGGTAACTTAGAAACAGATTCTAGTTCAGAATACGTGAGAATAGATATACC